AAACAATCAATTGGTTCCTTAGCAAATCGAGCCTCAGCAACTGGACCTGGTCTCTAATATGAACTATATTTTTTGCGCTGGTTTTCTGTTTAGTGGTGTCATTAATTTTCGTACACCACTCATTTATTCCTTTTCATAACCATTTATTCCTTTTACTAAGTCAGCATCCAGAAATATAATATGTCCTTGTTCATTTGTATCTTCAATATTTTGTAGTCTTTATAGTTTTCTTTTCAACATTTAATTCAACTTTCCTTTTCTTACTTTCGTCCATATCACTACTGCACTCAATATCTTGTATCGGGTAATCAATCATTAAATCAGGATCAATCTCTATTCTATCATCAGGAATATAATCCGGATCAGCATCACTGTCATCAATATCTTCATCAAATTCAACATTATCACCACTTTCACTTTCATCAGATTCCAAAAGCATTGCTTGAATTTCTTCATTCGCTAAATATTTGCGGCGTTTCGCCATTTTTTCAACACAGTATGAAATAAGATTTGAAACACATTTATATATGCCGCTCACAAATTTAAAAATAACAGGCACTATCACTAGGACTACGTTAAAATTACATATTTAAAAAGTCGTGTATTACTAGTGACACGAAAAATTTACGTGTTCAAAACTTCAGGTATTACTAGCGACACGTAAAATTCACGTCTGAGCTCTAGCTCATGTAACGAGACAAATGAACCGCAGACGAAAAAATCAAACCACGTGGCATGCAGCCAACTACATGACCCCTCGAAGCACTTAAGGTCAAACAAGTGTATAAGGTGAAAAGGAAAGGGCAGAAAGGAACCAATAAAGGATGACAGCACGTAAAATTTACGTACACTAGTGTTCTAGGGTTAAAGGACATTGTTGATTTGATCAAACCCTTTTCCTCTCGGGATAATTACAGCATTGAAACTTTTATTTCAGACATTGATGACATTTTTAATCTCTATGAAATCACGAATCCTGTACACCAAGTACTTTTTGTGAAAAAATGTCTTACAGGTCCAGCTTTAACATTAATTAGATCAATTCGTGGAATTACTAATTGGGAACAACTAAAACACCATTTATTAGATGAATTTTCGAATAAAATTAATAGCCTTCAATTACATAAAATAATGGAATCTCGTTACATGAAACCATCTGAAACCTTACAAGAATATTTTTTAGCTATGAGAGACCTCGCACACAAAGGTTCTATGGATGATTCTTCTTTGATTGATTATATTATCAACGGTATTCCTGATTCATCAAACAACAAAATAATTTTATACGGTTGTAAATCCATTCCTGAATTTAAAGAAAAACTAAAGATTTATGAAAAACTCTTTAACAATTCAAAACATTTGAAGTAAAATACTCCAAAGAAATTTACAAATTCCTTTCCCAATGTTAAAATTGATGCTAAACGTACATCAGACACTCAACCAGTATGTTCTTCTTGTGGTTTAAAAGATCACAAAAGCAGTACTTGTCCTAATAAATCTAATGGCAAATTCTGTTATGGCTGCCAAAATTATGGCCACGTTCATTCCAACTGTCCCAAACGTTCTGGTTGTTCGACCACGGAATCTGCTCCTAATTGTTCTACATCTGATAGTACTGTAAATGCACTTTCCACTCAAAATTTTTCTAAACATCCGATGCATGTTGATATTCAACTTAAAGGAACTCAGTTAACTGCTCTCTATGACACTGGTTCACAAGCAACACTTATTACGGAGAAAACATACCGCAAAATTGGTTCTCCACCATTACATCCTTCCAGAATTACATTCTCAGGACTTGGCTGAGACACAGTTCACATTATTTTACCTGCTAAAATCCATGTAGTAAAAGAGTATATAATTCCTCTTGATGCCATTATCGGAATAGACTTTTTGCAACAAACTCGATTTACATTTGATAAAGATGGTATTCATTTATGCAGCAATAATAATGATCCAATTTTTGTTAATGTTGCTAATGTAACTCATGATCACACATTTCCACCTGATCTTTCACACATCTCAAAATCGGAAATTTTCCAAGAAGTTCAACATATCATTACTCCTCACAACCCACACGAAGTTAACTGCTATGGAAGATTTTCAGAAAATAACAGAAAATGAAATTCAGTTACAGTTAAGGAAAATGATAATGATGCTGCACATGACAATTTAGAATTGGATTTAGATAATGAAAATTTGCATTTGGATGATCACGATGACAAAGATGATGCTGATACCAATCATGGAGCTCATGACGATGATATTGATGAAGACAGTGATGACGCAGACGACGACATGGATCAAGATCATGATATTGATGATGACGACAATCATAACGCTAATGGTGCTGATGATGGCACTCATGGAGCTAATGAAGATGATGTTAATCATGTTGATCAAGATGACGTTGCTGTTGTTGATGAAGATCATGTCAATATAGATGATGATGACAGTCATGAAGCTAATGATGATGATGATGTCGATAATGATCCAACCATGCAGAATACTGAAGAAACTGCGAAAAATCAGCTGAATCAATTTGAACAAGCATGTGCTGATCAAGCAAACGAGAAAATACCTTCTAAAAGTGCAGAAATTCCCAAAGAACAGAAAAATAATCTAAGGAAACAATTTGTCTCTGACATTCCAGTTGAAGCTTTTGAGGCAAAAAAGAATGCTGAAATATTTAGAAGAAAAATTACTATTTCATACACTTTATCCGCTTCACACCCAAAGATAGGCAAGAAGAGAGCCTGGAAGTATAAACGAAAAATATTTAAACAAACTTCAAAGACAATGAAATTGCAGACACAGCATGAGGATGAAAAGGCTGCATTATACATTGAAGCTCAACGGAACTTCCTCCGTTTACAGCAAGCACATATACGACAGTATAAGAAACGTCGCAAACCTGCCTGCAAATACAAACTTGGACAACAAATGCCAATCCAGCCTGAACTGAAACTTCCACTTCAACTGAATCTTGGACTTAAACTTCATCCCAAATTCTTCGGTCCTTATGAGACAGTACATCCCTCTGATTGTTACGAAGTACGAAAGATACGCCATGAACACACCATTATGATGTCCACCTGTGCTGATAAGACGAACTGGTGGTGCACAAAACTAACATTCGCCACCTGGACATTGATTTTTTTTCCACTTTCTCTGCTTTTTGTTTTTTCCTTTCTTTTCAGATCAACCCCCAGGCGAGGACGCCCGGCAAGGCAGAATGGCCGTGTGGTAATGCGCTCCTACAACTCAACCTTCCTCCTTCCTAAATCTGGCAACAGCGACAGCAGCGAGATACTTCTTCAAGCTGTGTGAGGAAATGGACAGACTTGCATTCCAATGATGATATAACATGGCGTTGGATGGAGCTGAACTATGCCGCTCGAAAACATTGATTGATGATGTGATTCTGTTTCATGATGAACTTTTTATCTTACTTCCTTTCACACTGTAAATACCATAATCATGTTTATTCTTTCATCATCAAATACCCTTAAAATGCTACTGCCTTCCTCTATTTTAATCCTAACCTCATTCTACATATATTCTTATTGTTGTACATATTACGAGGCGTATTCGGAAACTAAGTACCATTTTGAAAAAAAAAAAAAAAAAGTAAAACAATTTTTTCGAATCCAATTTTATTTTTACATGAAAATACATGCCTAAACTATTTTTCAACATAGTTTCCACCAATGATCAAACACTTGTCATAGCGGGTGACCAGTTTTTGTATACCATCGTCAAAGAAACTTCCCGCCAGTTTCGATACACGACTCCACAGCACTTTTCGTGTTATCGTCAGATCCAAAGCGCTTGCCACCAAGCTCGCGCTTCATGTGCAGGAACAAGTGATAGTCGAACGGTGCCAAGTCTGGGCTGTACGGCGGGTGATCGAACTGTTCCCAATGAAACTGTCGAATTAACGATTGAGTGACACCAGCAGTATGGGGCCGAGCATTGTCATGGAGCAACACAATTCCTTTACCGAGCATTCCTCTTCGTTTGTTTTGAATGGCACGCCTTAGTTTTGTTAAAGTTCACAATATCGTGCGTATTAATGGTTTCACCTCTGAGAAGAAATTCAGTAAGCAAAACGCCTTCCTATCCAGAAGACAGTGCACATGATTTTTGTGATGACATTGTCACTTTTGAACTTTTGTTTTTTTCGGAGAATGAGTGTGTCTCCCTCCATCCATTGTTTCGATTCTGGTGTGAAATGACACACCCAAGTTTCATCACCTGTCACAATTTGGTTTTTAAAAAGTTTTCTCCCTCTGTACCGCGTGAGAAATGTCAGGGCACTACCAAGTCGCTTTGTTTTTGTGAACATCAGTGAGCATTTTTGGAACCATCGGGAACACAGTTTGCAATAATTCAAGCGGTCAGACACAATTTCGAACAAAACAGTACGTGAAATTGTGGAAAAATGCCTCTGAAAGAGTTGTCATTGTGAAGCGTCTGTTCTCATGAATTGCTTCATCAACTTTCCTTACCAAATCATCGGTGACAACAGAAGGCCGACCACTCCGAGCCTCGGCGTGGACATTTGTTCGACCTGCATTAAACATTCTTACCCACTTTCTCACCATTCCATCACTTATCGCATATTCAACGTAAACTTCTGTCACTTGATGATAAATTTTGGCTGGTTTAACATTCATCGAGTTCAGAAATTTAATCACGGCATGAATCTCACAGTCAGCAGGAGAACTAATTGTCTTAAACATTTTGAATGTGCACAGCAAACTGAAAACACAACATAGAGCAACGAAAATGGCGACAATTGAAAGTCAGTGAACAAGAAAAACTAGTGCGCATGCATGGGACGCCTACCACAGCGCTGCGATGGCGCTAGTATTATTTTCCGAATACGCTACGTATTATACATTTTCCTGCCCAATTCATAAAGCTCTACAGTGGGAATACCAGGGTTCGTACGCATTTCTGCACACAGAAGTTAAGTACTTCTAAAGACTTTTAAGGACAATTAATGAAAAAAATTAAGGACCCATCAACAAATGGGAAACTGAATAAGTTCAATTAAAGATATCAGTTATGCCTGAACTTCACTTGTGCGACACTATCCTAATAATAAAATAGATCCACAAGTAGAATGCATTATTATTAAACATAATTTAATAAATATAATTATAAAAAAAATTTGAGAATAAAATCAACTTCATAAAATTTATCAGATAGCATTAAATATTTTACCCTTATAATAGTTGGACATACTTGAAAGAAGATTAGTGATATTTTATTTACGTTTTACTAACAGTTAGCTTCATGTTGATTTTTTCTTTTATGTCTCATTCTTGCTCAGTCAAGAGGTACTGTAAATAGCAGGCAGATGGTATATCAAACGACATAGGTTAAAATGAAAAGTAAAATCATAATCAGCATAATCCATAACAGGAGACTGGCTGTTGTTGTCACTGCTGCTGCTTGCCTAGAGAAAGGCCTGCTGATCAGAACAGACCTGAATCCCTGATGCTGGCAGGGTTAGCAAGTTTTTGAAAGTTTGTTATGCTCTGTCTGATGCAGTTAAGTGTTGTAGCTTCATGTAAAGTTCTTGGAGTTGTAACCCAGTTAATATACTTTAAGGTTCCAGTAAGCCACTAAAGCACCAGATGTGATAAGTTATTTTGTATTATTTTAAATCTCACCAGACGCAAAGAAAAAGTTTTACATTGATTTGTACATTTTTGTATTGTATCTTATCACCATGCAAGAATTAATGAAAGGCAATAACTTGCTTTAATATGCAGAGATAAATTTTAAGGCAGTTAGTTACAAATAATTAAATTAGGTAATCAGATACTCTTGTTCATTAAAGATTTACATGGCCACTATTAAATTTTATTTACTTTTTAAAAGTATTTGTTTAACTACGTATTAAAAGCTACAAAACATTTACATTTTGTAGCAACAATACTCAACAAAATATTTACGCATCTTTTTAATTTGAAGCCTTTCCAGACATTCTGGCTAATTTATATTTATTTTTAATAATTAATTTATTTAATTTATATCAAACATTTTCTTTAAGAATCAGACATTTGTTTCAATTATGCAAACCAATATTCCCATTAGTTTCTGCATGTTTTATCTAATATTCTATCAATCTCTCAACGTATGTAACTATGAAGTTTTATTTGATGTGTTAACCCTTTAACTGTCAAGTTATCTTGAAGATTTGGGTGCTCAAATTTTTTTATTGCAAAAATCAAATGTTTAGTACAAAATAAAATATACTTAGTAGTTAAAAATTGATATTTTGAAGCACATGGGTAAAATATTTAAAGTTTTGTAGACACTGCATATTTGCTTGAGGCGGCTGCCACTCAACATGGCAGTTGTAAAGTTCGCTTCTAGTGAAGCATTATTTTCTAAAAATAAAAAAAAAAATTAATATTTTCTAAAATAATAATGAAAAAAAAAAAAATTAAATAAATAAAAGTGAATACCTTTCAGTAATTCAGTCTTGTATGGTATAACTGGAAACACTTTTCCAAGCACAAACCAACTCCACAATCACTACACCAGAATCGTGTTTCCTTCCTTATCTTTTTCCCATTTTTATCCTTTTTCGAACAACACACTTTGCACTGTCTTGTAGGCTCACATTTCGCTGGAGTAGGAGGAATATGGGATATAAAATGTCGTTCAGTAAGACGGGCAGGGTTATCTATTGTAGGTGCTCTGCCAACTTTCTTTTGTCCAGAAGCTGCATCATCATATTTATGTAAAAGCTCTTCTACAACTTGGATTCGAAATTCTAAAAAACGTAATACGTTTCCCAACTACATTTTTATAGAGCAAATATGAGTTCCAGAGTACCTTGTCTAGTAAATGTAAAAATATCTTTTTATATATTTTTTTTCTGACGTTTTGGATTGTTGGATGAAAGGATATTTCCTGATCACAGCGATCTACACCACCTATAGTTAAATTGTAGTCAGAAACAATCTTCGGACTTGAGTGTGTCATTTTTTTTTTTTTTATTATTTTTTTTATATTTGAGGCTGACCATGGAAGTATCATGAATACTGCTCATCATGAAACACACATATTTTCTTATCTTTCCACCTTATAGCCAAAATCTTACCTCTTTGAAAAGCCATGATTTGACCTTTTTGCAATTTTCTTTTAGCGAATTCTGTAGGTAAATCTCGTCTGTTTATCCTTACTGTGCCATAAATATCTGTTTTTCGGGCTATAAGTAAATCTGCAAGCTAGGGTGACATGCAATAGTTATCTACAGTCACACAATAACCATTTCCAAGAAAGCGATGCAATAGGTGCATCACGACTTTTGTAGAAAGTCCATAATTTGTATACAATTGATTGAAAACAGTACTATTTCCCGTATAGATAATGAAGTCACAAATATACCCTGTTTCCGCTCACAAAGCATAAAAAATTTGATTCCAAATCTTGCACGTTTGATAGGAATATATTGTTTCCACGATAACCTTCCTTTATAAGGTATCAAGCTTTCATCAACCGATACATCTCTTTCCGGTATGTAAAAATTACAAAATTTTTCCCGTAAATTTTCTATCAGATTATACAACTTCCAAAGTTTTGGATTTGGAAAATCATCTTTTTTTTTTCAGCTTCATTATTGCAAAAATGTAAATATCGAAAAAGCAAAATAAAACGATTTACGGGCATTACTTTTGAGTAAACTGGAGTATGCAAAATCCTTCAATGAGACCAGTACATAGCCTGATTTGGTTTTCGGACAATACCTTGAAGAATTATTAGCCCAAAGAATAGCTTCATTTCTCTGTCATTTGTAGGGATCCATTTTTTACTGTGAGAGCACCTTGATATCTTTGCCCTATTTGCTTTTCTTTCTTGTTCTGCATAGTTGTTTGTTTCTTTGACAATTATATCCATTAGATTTGAATCCAGAAACATTTCTAAAATATCTAAGGGAGTGTAGTTTATGTTTACAGGAAAAGTTACACCTGTAGTACCTGTAAAAGGGAACCTAGGGGGTCCTGATCGGCCAGAAGCAGTTATTTCACACCAGTCTCTCGCATTTCCTATATCATCATCACCGCTATCCGTTGATTCACTGCTACTTTCAATGTCACTCTCCTCAGTTTCACCTGCTTCACTAGTATCGATGCCTTCAAAATCTTTATCTTCGGTTTAAGAATCTAAATCATCTATATAACGTTTCAAAGAACTGGATGCCATTTTACAACAAAAAGATCCCGCGCACTTTGAACCAAAGACCATCTAACCTCTAACCTTTGAAATCTTCCGTAGAGTGCTGCCATCTATTGAATTGAGCACACATTAACTTTTCCCGAGAAACAGTCATGTTTGAAAAAGAGATGAAGCCGAAATAAACGTCTCCCGATATATATTTGGGTACAACAATACGATGCACTCAAAAAAAAATTACCCCGAGTAATACTCGGGCGTGACAT